TTTGGTGTTAGTTAGCCGGCAGAGCCGGAAGGTACTGAGGTCCCATCATACGGGAGGCTACTCAGCTAAAGTTGAGATTTCGGAAGGTCCTTCTTAACACTGGAGTCCCATACGGGAGGCTATCCAGCGTAATCCAGATTCATTCCGCACGGGCGAAAATGTTAGTAACTGCAACAAGGCTCGTATAGACGTGTGACATAAAGTGGACACAAGAAATCAAAGAACAACATGATCTTGTTTAAAACAAGTTAAATGTGAAATAAAGAAGTCGTTATTGCACTATCTGGGCGGTCTCGACAAAATACATATTTGAACATGTCATAAATAATGAACAACCTTAAATAATAATTGTAACAATTTTATATTAGAAAAATATACGCCCCTAAGCGTAAGACAATGAAGCCTAAACATATACAGAATTATTATCATGAGACATCTATATTTTACGAACAACGTCATCATTACAAAAACAAGTTAGCTGTAAAACAAAGGAGTCATTATTGTAAAGTCGGGGGCGCCCACGACGATATACATATTTTAACATAAAATAAATAATGAGCAATCGTTAATAATAAGTATAACAATTTTACCTTAGAAAAATATATGCCCTTGAGCATAACGCAATGGAAGCTAAACATACAAAGAATTATTATCATGAAACATCTATAAACATCACAATCATAAGATTACATAGAATAATTAACAACAAAGTACTTAAAGAATATTACCTGCTAACTAATAACGGTTAAACACTTAATTTTCCACTACTTCTATAATTTTCACACTACACTGATCGTCTTACTTTTCACTCCGCCCTGTTCTCACTTCAACTGCCTATCTTCGACTATCTTGGCTTCCTTCCAGAATTGCTCCACCTAGGCGTATTTCTTTTTTGCGCTTCCTTCTACCGACCGTTAATATTACTTTTTCATTATTTTACAACACCCATGTAACAGGTGACGTCGAAGTTGATAAGATAAGTACGGTTTTGCACAACATGTCTGAGCGTTTTTCTACAATCTTGACGCAGTTCCTGAAAATGGCTCTGTTTCGATTTCATTTGGCCACCCTGTACATATATATTGAGTAAAAAATAGCACGTGGTTTAGCAATTTTTATTCATAATATTGATCACAAAATTTTATTTATTACTTCATACCCTTCTTTAGTGGCGTATAAAAAATTATAAAGATTGACTTAAAAGGAACTTTTCATATCACCTCCACCTCATTTCATATTGTAAAGATAATTCGTTGGAATTGTAAAAATAACCACTATTTTTTTACAATTTTGAAATATTATAGATATATCTTCTTTGTCTAACAATTTCACTCTTTTTGCCAAGTAGTGGTTGGTAATCTCTAGTGCAACGATTTGGTCCTGATTTTTTACTCTAAAAACATTTTATCAAAATAAATAGTTTCCTCTTTAAAGGAAAATATTCAAAGTATCTAAAAGTAATATTTTCAGTTCGGTAGTATGACATCTACCAATGTTTTGAAATATTATGTGTTGGGGTCAGTCTGTTTCTGGATACCTTGCAGTAGTACAAGACCAGTCAGTTTATTAATAAAAAATTTCATCAAAATATACGAGGTGGTTTTAAGTAAATCTCTTTTAAACCCGACATCTCCGTTAAAAGAAACATTAGGAAAAAGAAATATAAGAAATATAGGGACTACTGGTATTGGTATTTTGACATCTCCTATCCGCCCCTGAGAGATTAATAGATCTGTACCTACCCTGTATTTATGTATAACCGAAAATAATTTTATCCTGTTTATTTTATTTAGTTTCGTGACCGCCGAAAACAACCCAACATTTCCCGATGGATTCTTGTTCGGCGTCGCTACGGCAGCCTACCAGATTGAAGGAGCGTGGAATGAAGATGGGAAAGGTGAAAGTATCTGGGACCACTTCGTCCACAGCAACGCCTCAGTCATTCAAAACAATGACACCGGAGATATAGCCTGTGACTCATATCACAAATACAAGGAAGACATAGCTCTTGCGAAAGAGCTTGGTGTGAACCATTATAGGTTTTCGGTCTCTTGGACTAGGTAAGGTTAAATCTAGTTGCACGTATGCCTTTAATTGTAGTTTGTGAATATTAATTTTGAAATATAGAACATTCACAGAAGAGATACAAAATTCGAATTGTCGCATAATTTTTTGTTATCTTGAAAACAGTTAAATATCAAATGTTGTCTAGTGTTACCAAGTATTAAATTTTAAAATAGTTCCACTGTAAAACTTATTTTTTCAACCATATACCCTTCTTCCCATGTACCCTGCAGATACAGTTTCAATAATGTATTGAATAGATACTTTTCAAAATACACTATATGAAATTATAATTTCAGAATATTACCTACTGGTTTTGCTGATCAAATCAACGTCAAGGGGATTATGTACTACCAAAATTTAGTAAACGAAATAGTGAAACAGGGCATGATACCTGTTGCCACCTTGTACCACTGGGATCTTCCTCAATCCTTGCAGGATATCGGGGGATGGACGAACCCAGAACTGGTCCACCACTTCGTCAATTATTCTCGAATAGTAATAGAGAGCTTGGACCAAGTTGGATACTGGATTACTATCAACGAACCGAGACCAATCTGCCAATATGGATATGGTGCAGGAGCCTTTGCTCCTGGTATAGCCCTAGATGGTATAGGCGAATATTTGTGTGCGTATGTCTTGGTGAAAGCACACGCTGCTGTGTACCATATGTATAAAACAGAATTTCCAGACTTAAAAGGTAATACTACTGAACATTATTATAAGTAAATACTATTAATATTATTTAATTTGGTATTTCTTCCAAGAACATAGTCAAGTGTTTGTTTTATAAATTTATTTTTGCGTTACCAAAAATATTTCACACTAAGAAAGTAGATGATTTTAGAGATTGCACTGTAACATTTAACAAGTTAAAGTTTGGAAAACTTCTTTTAGCTTCCGTGTTCAAATCATTTTATTAAAATGACCGAAAGTCAAAGTGCCAGTTATTCGTTACAAACTTTGACAACAGTAACTATAGAATAATATCTAAGCCTCTAAGAAGATAAAAGAAAGAAATAGAACATATTCTAGAAAACCATTAAACAAATAAGTAAACAAATGTATAAACAATGCACACTAGGGCAACTTTTGCTACACTGCCCACCTCTTAACGATGATCATCCCGATCAGCAATCACTATCCTCTCCAATGGGTGCTCTGTATTAGGTCAAATGATCCAGGTAAATGACTTTCATCTCTCTGGATTCTGTAAAATACGTTGCTGATCGGCCTCTCCTCTTAAAGATAGTCGTCCCGTTCAGCAATTAGTGTCGTCTGCAGCGGGTGCTCGATATTGGGCCAAACGATCCAAATGAATGACTTGCATCTCTGAATTATGTAGAATACGTCGTTAATCCTCTTGATTACCGCATATGGACCTTCCCAAGAGTTTTGGAGTTTAGAAGATTTTCCTTTCTTCCTTACTCGGTCGTAGACTACCATACTATAACTCCTGCCTGGAACCACTAGGGTTAGTATTGTAATGTGCTTTCAACCCATCGCACTCAAACTTCATTTTCTGATGAGCTTTCTCATGGAAAATATCGATTATTTTGGCTAACTCGGACGGGTAGTCTTCCGATGTGTCAGCTCGATCTTCTGGATGACCATAAACAATGTAAAAGTAATTATCTATCGAAAACTATGCTGGCTGGCTGGTGTTTTTCCGGTGGCATCATGAACTGCTGATCAATAGGCCAACAGGAAAAGGGACACATGTCCGGTCCGAGTTTGATGTTTGCTGGCGATTAATCGCAGGTTTCATCAGGGTCCGGTTAAACCTGTCCACCGTATCTTCAGATTGTGGATGCAGGGGTGTTGTGCTGGCCTTTCTGATATCCTTCAATTGACATATTCTTTGGAACACATCCGATTCGAAATTTCACCCTTGATCTGAATGCAGTTCTATTGGAACACCGCAGAAGAGATTTTCAGCGAGAACATTTGCTACCGTCACTGTCTCTTTATTAGAGAAGACATATAGTTCTCGTCATTTACTGAAGTAATACATCGCTAGCAATAAGTAATGATCATATGGAAAAACGATCCAACGACATCAACGGCAATTCTCTCGGTGGAAGCTCCAACGTTGTAACGTTTTATCTGACCCCGGCTTCTAGTTCTAGGTCTCTTGCTGCTGGATCAGTCAGAACACAGGCTTCGTAGCCAGTAGAAATGTTTTCTAACTGTATTTAATGTCTTGTTTACGCCGAAGTGTCCTCCACCGTCAACTACTCTCAACAGTTCGTTGACTCTATCTGGACTTACCCATTGCCTCTTAATAGCCCGTTTTCTAGGATAAATGAGTTTCATATATCCCAGTAACATTTTAACGTTGATGATCTGTCCATTTTGGTCGAGTTCCATGAGAGACTGTCATAATTTCGTAGGTCCTCACTAATTTTTTTAGCTCCCCATTGTCCATCCGTCACTATTACTATTTTTCGGGACAAGTTTCCAAATTCTTTTGTTTCCGCTCGGTTGCTATGTAAGCATCTGTCGGCATACGATCTTTTAGATACTGTATCCGCGTTTTCATCAAATTCCTACATTTTTAAATAAAAAACTATCTAAATATTTAAGATAGGAATTTCTCTAAAATTGGTTACACCTTTCTTTTATCTAAATCTTAAGTGATATCTTAATTGATATTTGGAATTAATATCTATTAAGTGCGTTTGTGTGGTGGGTCTTTGTTCTACGAAATCAGTGGAATCTATGTAGCCACACTGCCGGATGAAAATAATAAAGATTCGCGGTAAAAGTATAATATTTGATTTCTTGTTTTAAAGTAGTTGTAGATAAGTGATTGATTGATAAAAATAAATACCATTTGAAAATTTAAGAGTAAAATTAACGAAATTATCTTTAGATTATAGTACACTATTGATTATAATTAATATTAGTTAAAATTTAGTAAATAATAATTTAATATAATAATGCAAAATATTAATATAACGAGCGTTCAAATAAAAACGTAGTCAAGTTGGTTCTGAAAATTTGGACGTAGGGCGTAGCGTATAGCAAATGAACTTAAACGTCATCTGTCAAAGCGCTGGATCGCCGCTTTGTTATTGAAACTGACAGCCGCTATACAGCTCGTTGAGAAATGAGGTTAAGTTGGTCGCTATAAGCTACGCCCTACGTCCAATGTGTCAGAACCAACTTCGACCACGTTTTTATTTGAACGCTCGTTACTAGTAAAGTAAACTACTAGTTTACTATTAAGTAAACCTTAATGGTCTGTTACATATTTGCCTCCGTTTAAAATAAAAAACTATTCCATCATGAAATTATTTCAACGAATAATCTAAAAACTACGTCAATTTTTAAGTGGATCTTATCAGCAATTTTGGCGATGTTTAGAGTGAAAGGTATTACCTACCGAACATTAATATAAGTAAATAAGTAATATTGTTAAATGGCCTAAATGATCAATCCTTTAATTTCTATTTTGTAAAAAGTATGCAAGTGCATAGGTACTTCAAATATTCTCAAATACAAAAATATTGTTGCGAAGAGGTATAGCAAAATTCTATACGAATAAAAATTATATTATATATATATATATATGTATATGTTATATAGTCTAAACCTGTATTTATTTTGTAATTTTTACATAAAGTGTATTTTATTTTGTAGCTAAAATGTCAATAACGTTTGATGGAGAATGGTACGAACCAGCTAGTGACAACGACGCTGATAAAGAAGCTGCAGAAAGAAGAAAACAGTTTGAGGTAATGATAACAGTAATGACAAAAATAAATTTGTAGGTGATATATACCTACAAAGTACGTCATATATTAATTGTCCATGCCATTCAATACCCACTTACCCACTGACAGATATATTATATTTCCTGGATATTCCGCACTGAAAGAAATCGGCTTATTAGACTGTTTCTTTAAAATAATATTTTTAAAACCTTCATAATAAATACACAACTTTTATTAAAATAAAGTTCACCGTGACACAAAAAAAAGAGTACGGTTGATGCCAATTAATCAAAAGAAATAGAGTTAGAACTAAACAAAACCATTCCGCTTTATTCTGAGAATAGAAGAGATATATTACATTTGTTCCTAATGCATTAAAAGTAGATTCCAATAATCAGACTCAATCTCATTTGATTTGAAACAATGAATTTTGAACCTTATGTAAAAATTATATCGGAATGCGCATGCGTTGGAAACTGTGGATTGCTCTAAAAACAAACCTAATGTCAAACAAAGATACAGAGATGCATCTCCACTAGGAATATAAACTGGCCAACTTGGTAACCTTATCATTTTTATTACATTATAATTTAGGTTGTATTATAAAATCAGCTTGTAATTATAATTCTAAAATAAAATTTAATTTCTATGAAAATATGCTTTTAAATTATAAAAATTATAACATTTTATTATTATACAGGGTGTCAGCTAACGAATGGTACATACTTCAAGCGATGATCTAGAACCCAAATGGTGTCGATTTAACCAAACTTGCTTAAACGAAAAATGTCGCAAAAAAGTTACAGGTAGTTAAAATATCTTTTTTATTTATTGTTTTCTCCTTAACTCAGAACCCAGTTAACCGACTTGAGCAAAACTTGATGTTGCTTAGTTTCTTTTCATGAAGTATGCAGTGATTATGTTCCTATTAAGTTAAATCATACAGGGCGTTCATTTTACTACAACCCTTTGTGAATATTCTTCTGTAACTTTTTTGTACGTTTAAATTTTTACACGCAACTATCAGAAATAGATAGAGAACTTTATTCTACACAGAAAATGTATACCTATCAAAAGTCGCATTTGGGTTATAGATTCTTGAAGTTTATAACATTTGTTAAGTGACACCCTGTAGAACTTGTAATTAGTATACATGTTATAATAACGTGTGTAGAACACTTTAATACAGTTATAGTTGTCATTTCATACAAACATTTTTCACAACGTTTTTTTTTAACTGAAAAATATAAAATAATTAACTTTTGTCAATTCCATTTGTGGACACAATGCATATAATACTAACGAGCGTTCAAATAAAAACGTGGTCAAGTTGGTTCTGAAAATTTGGACGTAGGGCGTAGCGTATAGCAAATGAACTTAAACGTCATCTGTCAAAGCGCTATATCGCCGCTATCAANGAATTATAAAATTTAAAGTATATTGTAAAGAGAATTGTAAGAGCTTTCAAAAGAAATATTACTCAACCCCCAATGCCATTTAAATATTTTGGGGTTTACCCTTGCTTGAGGGTAAAAGTGGCGGAGTCAAAAATACCAGCAAAGAATGTCCCCCTTTAATCTAACATCGACATTGTAGTATAACAACCCTAGGTTCGATAAAAAAATATATAAACGTAGTTGTGGCCAGGAATATGTGATCGTCATAAGGAATCCCTACGTTGTATGTATATATTTTTTTAATTGACCGGAAGGCGCTGCCTACTAACTTTGTAGAGGGGAAGTATGGTTTAATTATATAAAAATAAAAGCAAAGTAAATACACCTAACGTTATTATTCACATACAACAGTCTTCAAATTAAACATGTGACAAATAGAATGAACAACAAAAACATTAACAACCATTTAACGTAAAACGAGAGTGCCAGACTCACCTAGAGTTCCTGTGGGGAAAGAGCATGGCAGAGAAACCCACGATCGTTGCTCTAACCACCCAAATATAAATACAAAACAACCAACAACAAAAGGCATAAATTAAGATCCTTTGCTAATGATAAATAAGTCCTGTCTCATTTAATGTGTCACTAAATGTCATCTGTTAACCCATATTAGTCATACACACTTCCAAGTAAAACTGAAGAGGTTTGGTGTTAGTTAGCCGGCAGAGCCGGAAGGTACTGGAGTCACATACGACGGGAGGCTATCCAGCTAAAGTTGAGATTTCGGAAGATCCTTCTTAACACCGGGGTCCCATACGGGAGGCAATCCAGCTTAATCCAGATTCGTTCCGCACGGGCGAAAATGTTAGTAAATTCAACAAGGCTCGTATAGACGTATGACATAAAGTGAGCACAAGAAATCAAAGAACTACATAACCATGGTAAAACAAGTTAAATGTGAAATAAAGAAGTCGTTATTGCAATATCTGGGCGGTCACGACAAAATACATATTTTAACATGTAATAAATAATGAACAATCTTTAATAATATTTGTAACAATTTTATATTAGAAAAATATACGCCCCTGAGCGTAAGACAATGAAGGCTAAACATACACAGAATTATTATCATGAA